GATCGGGGTGCTGCCGGTCTCTGAGACCATCTTCAACCCGTGGAACATTGGGATCACTCTGGTGGGTTTGGTGGTGATCACGCTGCTGATGCCGATGATGCGGCCCAAGAGGAATGACGAGATTATCGAGATCTCTGACGAGGCCATGGCCGAGTCCATGGCCGACACGACCGCTGCCCCTGTCGATGCCGCACGGGGCGGGGGAGGCAGCCTGGCGGTTGCTGAAGGGTCCGGAAAGACCTTTGGTGAGCGCCTCGACGAGGCTCGCATCCTGAGCCTCCTTCCTGGTGCTGCGCTCGTCGTCTACCTGGGGCTGTACTTCGCGCGCAGCGGTTTCAACCTCACCCTCGATGTCGTCAACTGGACATTCCTTGCCCTCGGTCTGCTGCTCGCGCGGTCGCTGGGACACTACGTCAAGCTCGTGGGCCAGGCGAGCCGAACGGTCGGCGAGATCGTTCTCCAGTACCCCTTCTACGCGGGCATGGCCGGCATGATGGCCGGGACCGGCCTGGTCTCGGTGATCAGTGGCTGGTTCATCGACTTCGCGAACGCGAACACGCTCAGTTTCCTAGGCTTCGTCTCTGCCGGACTGGTCAACATCTTCATCCCCTCCGGCGGTGGCCAGTGGGTCGTCCAAGGCCCTGTCTTCATCGATGCCGCGCAGAGCCTGGGTGTTGCCCCGTCGAGGGTGGTTATGGGCGTCGCCTATGGCGAGTGGAGCAACATGATCCAGCCCTTCTGGACCATCCCGTTGCTCGCGATCGCGGGTCTCAAGGTCCGCCAGGTAATGGGCTACACGTTCGTCGTGTTCGTGGTGTTCTTCTTCGTCTACAGCGCCGGGCTATTGCTTGCCGGCTCCGGAGCCTGACCCGCGCCGAAGGTAGCCAGCCCGACATTGCAAGTCGTACCGCACAATCTTGGCTTGTTGCCAGGAAGGTGACAGTGAGGCAGTCGTTGGGTGGTGGGTCGATGTGACTGACTCGCCTCCCCGGAAAGGGACTCAGTAGGTGGATTCAATTGGTCGTGAGACGCTGGTGCAGTTCGAAGGCGTTGCGCTCCACGCGGTTGCGCAGCAGCATTCCGTCCTCGCGCACGTCCCAGACCGCGGTACCGGTCAAGTGCACCGGCGTACCGTCC